GGTGCTCCAACAATAATCGATTATTTAACATAGGTTTAAATGAAGGAGATTCGGTGTTGCCAAATTGCTGGATCCGCCTCTGGCGATCTAATAGAGCTTGCACCTGTGCTACGTGCGTGTTCTCGTTATCATCGTCCCGAAGACGCGTTCTCAGATGTGACCCTAAGTTTTTAGTAATTTAAGCACCGACGTGCACTAAAAACTCGTAGAACTCAAAGAGCTGCCTCTTGACAGGTGCCACGCGTGTTTTCGCCAAGATCACTGTACGAATCCGATTGTTGTACATGTTTTTGTCAACTCTCAGAACAAGGTGGCGCGTCATGTAGAATCAAGCTATCCGCCAATTATAGGAACCTGTGTTCCTTTGTTTTTCTGTTTCTCCACCTTCTTCATTCGTTTCTTTCTATATTTCTATGACCGAGGAAATATTCGCCAACAAGTCATTCCGGAATGACTAATTTACTGCCGTTTTGGCGGAAATGACGTCAATGTCTGCGCACTTATCATTTGCGATTTCCAGCAATCCTTGTATCTTGCTCGTAGGACGAATTTTGCTGTCAAAGCGGAGTCAGTCCATTCTTTTAAATTAGACTGGTGGGATTGCGAAGAAAACTCAATTTTTAAAGGATTATCGTTCCTGTTCTCTGTGATCATGAGGCGGTGAAGGTGCCCTAGCGTTCTTAAAAACGACCATGTTGGCATTGTTGGCACCATGTTGATTGAGATCATTCTGTTACCAACACGGTTTGCTCCGGATCATGGTCTTACCAACACACCGACGGTGAAACTACCAAACCACGTATCTCGTTTGCGGTGTTTAAAAATCTACGCTCGCATTTTATTTTTTTGAAGTAGACCAAATCAGTATCATTCCTTGAAATTTTCACAGAATTTTCTCCGCACGAAGAGGAAAAATAACAGAAATTTTCAAGACTGGACGTTAAGTAGTTTTTCATTTAAAAAATTAAGTATGACAGGAAGTCTGCGACGTCGCAAACCGAGATACGTGGTTTGGTAGTTTCACCGTCGATACGTATGTTGGCAATGTTGGCAGTGAAACATGCTTCCCGCCATGTTGATGCTAACATGATATCAACATGGTTCCAACTTGGTCTCAATACTGTTCCATCTTGGTCCTTGTCGGGCAATTCGACCAATTTCATACCATCTTGATGACATGTTAACACCATTTGGCGTCGACATCCCGCTAATGTCATCATTTTTTAGCAGAATAGACGGCAGGCCAGGGCGCGCGCCGTGATGTCTGACACGAACCAGTGGCGTAGCGTGAATGATCGATCGATATTCCCCAATTTGAAGCTATGGTAAAGAATCGCTGAACCAGGGGTGCAGAAAGTGCTTGATCACGAAAATGTGGAACAGCCCGCGTAAAATGTGGAAGGAGGGAACATTTTGAGGGGTTTTTATTTTTTTTTCCCCTGCTGGTTTAATGGCTTCGTGTCTATAGCACCTTCAGCCAACTTTAGACAATGTTTAGTGTCCGTAGACATCAGGCTCCATGCTCTAGGCGTTTCTAATTTTCAGGGATTAGGGCCGAGGAGAATCTGTTTCAGCAGATCTACTCGTCAATTCCGTGAAAATTAGACGCCACCACCGGGATTCGAACCCGGGACCCATTTTGAGGGTTCTAAAGTCGAAACTCAAAGGAAAACAGAAGAAGAACTTCATCTTTTTTCAGATCGGTGGGAAATTTTTTGGAAAACCGATGAGCAAAATGTGGCATCCCTGCGCTGATCGAGGTGTTCGTTGCGGACACCCTGTTTATCGATCCTTTTCCCTAGGTTTACATGGCAGATCAATCGACACAGCGCGAAGCACGCCACGCCACCGACACAAACGCAGAAGTAAGCTCCTCGAATCCCCGATCAAATGCGCGGCACGCTTCGCGAATCCGTTGCACTTGCGCCCCCCCCCCCCCCCCNTCCCCCGATGCAGTGCGGTTGGACAGACGAGGACAAGGGCCGAACAAATGATTCCTGCGCCCCGCGGTGGATTGGCGCACAGTGGATCGAGTCAATCAGAGAGGTCGGACAAAATTCGGAAACTTTAAAAGCTTATAACTTCTTTTATACAAATGTTTGAGGTTCTAAGAGTGGTTTCATTGCAGGGTGTCTACAAGTCCGGAAATTCCGGAAATAGCACTGATTTTTTAAGGGCGGTCCGGAAGTGCTGAAAAAGTGCGAAAATTCCGCAAAAAGGTCCGGAATTTGTTTTAATTTTTCGTCATTTTTGTCGCAATTTCAAATTTTTGAAAATTTTCTAATTTCGTCAAATGGAGGTACTGAAAAAGCAGGGAATTTTTCTGTCGGAGGAGGTACTAAATTTCTCGAGAATGTACTGAAAAAGTACTGTAAAAGTACTTACTTTTGACCAGCCTGTCTTAGTAGACACCCTGCATTGGTTTCCTCGAGAAATTCTCTTCAAGAAGCCCCCCCCCCCCNATTAACATCAAAATTTGCAGCTTTACACTGAAAAAAAAAGTGAAGTTGATTTAACATTTTGGATGTTAAAAAAGTGTGCGAAAACTTACAAAATGCTAAATTAACTGCTACAGCAGCTACTTTAGCAATGTCAAGATGTAAAACTGACTGCCATAGTAGGTAATTTAGCATTTTGCGAGTTCCCGCACATTTTTTTTACATCCAGAATGTTAAATCAACTTCACTTTTCTTTCGGTGTAGTCAAAAATTTCATGTCCGACCTCTCTGATGGGCTCGATCCACTGTGCGGCGATGGGGCGCGGCGCGCGGCAATAAAAATAGGTTGAGGCGTTAAAAAATAGGGGTCGGAACTGACATAAATACTCGAGCGATAACAGCGGAACTCTAATCAGGCGCTTAAATGTGTCTTCGGAATGGGAATGGGGTTGTGAAAGCGAGAGGGAATCGGATCGCTCCTGCCCTGAGGTCTTTTGTTCGCGGCCCGCGAGCCATGGCGGTCGCGAGGGCGAAAATTTCGGGCGGATCGAACCCGAAATCCCTGCGATTCTGTGTTCGACCCGCGAACCAGTCATTATGGCCTGGTTACACGATCAAATTCCCGTCAAATTCCGATCAAAATGATGACCAAGATGGCGGTCGAGAGTTATCTAGATTGATGAGTCAAATTAATTAAAACAGCGTGTTTATTGAAATAAGCATGAAATAAGTAGAGTACCTATATTGAGAGAGTATCGCCACTGGGCCCCATGGAGAGGCTTAGGACCCAAAAATGGCGGTGCTTTGTTTTGGTTTTTGTGGATGGGAGGGGGTTCATTGCCAACTTTTGACGGTTATCACCAACCGCACTTGCTGCCAACCTTACTACATCTAAGATAATTTTTCTCAAAAATTGCACACGATTAGCCTTAAAAATATGTAAAGATGTCGCAATAGTGCATTTGAGTAAATTTCTCGTTACGATAAGCAAAGAAAACTACATTTTGAGTCATTTTGCATTACAAATTTATAGCGTCCGCCATTTTTGGGTCATAAGGGCTCCATTTAGCCTAAGATGGCTGAGCCAATCAGAGGTGGTAACCCCAGTGGCCATACTCTCTCAATATAGATACTCTAGAAATAAGCACGGTGGTGTGGAAATCAGATGAAGGATGAGCCCCACAGTTCCATCATCTTCCATCAAATTTTGGCAGGTCGCAGAAATTTGATGGTAAATGGTGCACACGAGTCACCATTTGATCGGAATTTGACGGGAATTTGATCGTGTTAACCAGGCCTTACCGTGGTAGCGAAGAGGGCAGTCAGTGTTAAATTTTCGAATTCGAGTTTCCCTCAAAATCCGTCTAATCTCTTTTAGGGTGGTTTCAAGATAGCTGGAATAGTTTTGTCGCCGTGACAGACAACACATTATTTTTTCGATCATATTTTTCGTAAAAATGGAAAAATCTCGAATGTTTTCGCATTAATCTTCAACAGGTCACGTATTTTAACGCCTCCTAATGATTTATTGCTCTACTTCTCAATTAATATTATGTAAATTCCGAAAATTTGCTGTGTTAAGGGGTAAAAATTCAGCGTAACAGACAGCACATTTTCGGCCATTTATGTATTAAAATTGAGGAGTAGAGCGATAAATCTTTGAAAAGCGTTATAACACGTAACCCCGTGTAGATTACTGCAAAAAAATTCGAGTATTATCATTACTACTAAAAATATGACCGAAAAATGTGTTGTCTGTTACGGCGACAAAACTATTCCAGTTATCGTGGAACCACCCTTTAGATGAAATCACTGAAATGGCTAAAACAGCAAAATGCATCTAAATTGCATGAAAACGAGACTTACGAGGAAGCCGTAAGTGCGCAAAAAATGACGTAGTTTCAAGCAAGACAGCAGTAAGTGACAATATTCCTACGGAGAGCCAATGAAAGCAGTGAATGAAAAAAATGAACGAGACGATTTTTCAGCGTTCTTTTGCAGAAACTACGAAATTTTGCGCCAAACACTGGAGCACCCGAGCCGGTTCTCCCATTTTTAAACCTCGATTTCGGAGCCTTCCCATTCTCGCACGCAACTGACCACGACTCGCCGACTGGTCGAGAACTTCCTGCGCCCCTGAGTTATTACCTGCCGAAATCAGCAGAAATCATGCAATTCGGGCCCTTAAATTTCTATTTACGGATTATAATTTAAAATGAGAATTTTGTTCTCGTTTCTCCTCGAATAAACAGAACAGGGTTTAACATTTTGAAATGCCGCAATCGAGGTATGTGATTTTCGATTTTATCTGTCGATAACTATTCCTGCCGGCAGGATATTTTGTAGTGTGCTTCGCAAAATGAAGGCGTAATTTAAACGTTGTATCGCGCTTTAAGTTACGGATTCCATCAAGCTCCAACCCCAGCTCCCATTTTTGTCGTCAGGGAGTGCCATCAATAGGAAACTTCCAAACGTGTCTCTGTCGGTCTGAAATTCTCAGATTTTTCTTCAGATTAGCCATCCACTCTCGGCTGATGTTCTTTTTTGCTTGTTTTGTTGCAGGCGGATGCTTCTCTCGAGATGGAGCAACGACATTTTTCGCAGGCCAGCCTTGAATATGTGTTTTTGCTCCAGGAAGTTCAAGAACGCAAAAAGTTTGAATTCGTTGAAATTGTGAGTGAAACATTGAACTAATAGTATCCTATCCTACTATATGTAAAATCGCAAGCTCAGATAGCCCTAACGCCAAAAATCCTAACGCGAAAAACCTTACGCTGGGTGTGCCCGCTACCCCTGCCAAACCCTTTCTTCCTTCTCCCTTCTACTGCATCACCCTTACCTGCATATTCTGCGCCCTCGCCACCCCCACTCTTCCTTCCGGTTTTTTGGCTTTTTCCATTCCGCCTTTATGCCATTTTCTCTTCCGACAACTGCAGGTCATTTTTCTCTGTGATCTTAATTGAATCAGTGAGAACAAGAACGCACCAACTCGAAAAAATGAAAATAATCAAGGCATGCACAAAACTGCACAGTAGATGAAGAATTTAGTCCAAGAAAAAGGTTTTTGGTGCCGAAAGGCAAGTACTACAGAGCATTTCAAAGGTCCAAGATGGAACAGATGCGCTGACTTCAATGACCTTTATAAAAACTGACTGTCTTCAATGCAAATGCAACATTTTCGAGTTATCGAGTCGGTGTGTTCTCGTTCTCACCGATTCAATTAAACCCCTCTTTAATTTCTACTTTAGTTCACTTATTCAGTGACTCCAGTGATTTTCTCAGTAATTCCTGACGTACTATTTACAAAGTTTTTTGCTTTTTCATGATAAAATATCATTATTATTGACTGCCTCAATAAATCTGAACTCATATCAGGGCCGGATTTATCTACTTGCCGCCCATGGGCCGCCTGTATTTTGCCGCCCCCTTCTCATTCGTTTTGAAACATCAATAAAAACCATCAAATGAACGTGCCAGCGGTGGAGGGGTGCATAACACACGTTTACTCGTGTTGAACACATTTTTTACGAAAGCCCTTTCAACACTACTAGCAAAAGCTCACAGAACTTAGCGCGAAAGTTAAGTTTCGTTAACCTATCTCTGTGTGGACAAGGCCCTCCATTCATAAGAAATGAACGAAAAAATTATGAAAGAACAAACATAAATGTGGATTAATGATTTTAACTTCCGCCGCCGCCGCCGCGCTGCGATGCGGACACTGCACCGATGCGCATCGTGTTTGGTGCAATGCGTGAAGTATTCCGACAGTCTTGTAGGCGCTATGAGTTTCACGCCGACCGCCGCTAAAAGCACTGTGTTTGACGCGATGCGTGAAGTATTCACGCAGTCTTGAAGGCGCTATGCGTTTCACGCTGATCGCACTGTGTTTGCCGCAATGCGTGAAGTATTCGTGCAGTCTTGTAGGGGCTAATATGTGTTACATGCCGATCGCCGCGCTGAGGGCTTCTCCTATTCATCTCAAGTCCTCGTCATCGTTTCTCTCTAAGTCACGCCGTTCCAGGCCAAATTGCGTGTTTGGTTTCTCTCCTGACTCAACTAATTAAAGGTGCTATCTCTTGTATCATTGAAAGACGACAAAAGTAGAAATTACCATACTCTCAGAAAATTAGAGATTTTGTCGCCTTTTCTCGTTTGTAATTTTTTTTTTCTAAATTCGAATTTTCTATACCTACATTTAAAAAAATTTCAAAATTTGCCGCCCCCTATAGATTTGCCGCCATGGGCCGCAGCCCATGTGGCCACCCCCTTAATCCGGCCCTGATTCATACCACCATTTTATTCTTTAGGTATATATCCTCTCTTTCCATAGGAATTACCGAAAATGAATGAACCGCCTCGCCTCACAATCATTGATATGAACGCCGATGAATTCTTTATTTTTTAGAGCTTTGTTTTACATGCTAGATTAATCCACAAGAGGTTCACAAGTGCCCTCGGGGGGTTGGGCCGCGTAGCGGTCAGGGGACATAGCCCTCTAGTTAAAAAATGAGTTGCTAATATTAAAACTTTTAGCTTTATGTGCATCTTTCAAAGTTGCTGAAGAAAACAGGAAATGAATCGGATTAAAGATTTTCTGCCATGTACTCAAAACAATTTACCGCCCCTAGATTTTTAGTGGAGAGTTTTACATTTTTTGGAAAGACTTACAATTAGTTTGAAGGACACTCATCAGAATAGCTAACTACTCTTACTTATTGATACGTTAAAGTAAGGAAATATAGTAAATTTATGAGGCAAACCAACTGAAATTTTTAAATTGCATCCACCCTCATCTAAAAAAAATCAGCAAGGCAAAGTTGAAAATAACGCAACCCCTTGAAAATGGAAGAAGAAAAAAATTCCTGGTTTGTGCAATCTTTTTCTTTTTTTAGTCTGCTTAGCATAAGGTAGGGGATACGATTTGAAATTCTTCTTCCTCCTTCCTCCTTCCTCCTTCTTCCTCCATTTCAGAGTTTTCTGAATGATTCCATAACACCAACTGTATCTTCCTAGAGTAAGATTAAACTAATAACATGTGTAATATGAATCAATAATCTGAGTGAGGAAGTAATGGAGATTATGTATTTAATTATTAAGGTATTTAGGTAAGCAGGGTTTAAGGTATTTAGGTATTTAAGTTTACGTATTTTATTAATTTAATCTCTTAATTCTGTTTTTCAGTTACTAAGTTTCATGTTTGGATGGCTCACATTTTATCACGAGGGTCATGAGGTTGCGGAAGATTTTAAACCGTACATGAGAGAATTACAACTGAGGATTCAAAAGGTAAACAATACATATTTCATAGCAGTCCACCTCTCTGGCTTAGTTTTTCTCTTTATGAAACTTAACTTTTTAAATTTTTGTATCATTATTTTTTGTCGCCACATAATAGCAGTTTGATGCACTCTTAGTGTGTTTTTTTTCCAGTTTTCTCTAATCAGTTGTTCCTACTAAGTCATCTAGTACCAAGTTTAAAACTTATTCTTGTTTGTGAAGGATTTGATGCTAATTTTGAACGTTATGAACAAAAAATTTCAAATTTGGTTCTTCATACCGCTTTTTTTGTTTGACCTCCTTAGTGAGTGAACAATTTGAGATTTTAAAACATCTCCTTATTTTAAGCAAAAATCCAGATTGTACGCTCAATACTTAAGAATGTAATTCCAGAAGTACCAACTGCTGCTTTACTTTTTATCTTTCTTTCATTTTTTTTAAAAAAAAAAAATCAAAATAAGCAACTCTCAATAGAAATACCGTGAAATTACTGACGTAAGTATTTTTATATAAAGTAGGTAAGAAATTGTGAAGTTCTTGCTAAATTTTTGTCTGCAGTTTTTTTTTCTTTCTTGCTCCTGAAATTTTTATTTTAGCATACTTTGGTTTTAAACTTATCACAGTTTGCAGTTTTTCATTCCAATTAACACCATTGAGTTTGATTTTCTTTTGTTTTTGTTTGATTAACACGCTGATCTCTAGACGAGGGAAAACTTCATTTCGACTCGAGACAAAACTGAATCGTTAATGAAAAAACTTCTCGAGATGAGGCAGACTGTAAGTATTTTATTTTGTCTCTCCATGATACAATCTGTACGATCTTAACTTTATACTCTTCCACATGACTACTTCTCTATAGATTTGTTTGCAAGGTCAACGGCTAATTATGAGCAGTTCGAGTTTACTTTTTTCTACTCCCAATTTTCACTAAAACTTCTATCTTCACAATTTTGAGTTAATAAGTCTGCAAGAGTCTTAGTATATTTGTCCTTCTCCTTCTCCCTTTCATTTCCTTTCCTTCCTTGTATTACGCAGTTCACCTGTCAATTTGTCAATTTTTTACTTCTAAAGATCTATAAAAAGCTTTGAAGCATTGTTGTGCCATTTGAATAGGAAAAAAGAGGGTAGGGTCTTAAGCCCTCTCTTTTTTTGAGAGGTTTGGAGCTTAAATAGACCCATATAGGATGAGGTAAAGCGCAAAGTTTCAATTGAAAAATATTTTTAACAAATTTGCTGACCAGAAAAACAGAAACAATACAAGGGTTAAGGATTCAAAACAATACAACGCATGGTCTTGTACCGAGTATCATATCGATGGCTAAAGTGCAAAACCATGTATCTCCATCGCGGTGTTTCAAAATTGCCCCTCAATTTTTTTTTTCCTGAGGAGCAACAAGCCATCTTAGTGACTTGAAATTCATGTAGAATATTCTACAAACAGAGAAGAAAAATCAAGGTAGTTTTCAAGGAATCCTGTAGACTGGTTTTCCAAAGAAAAATAAATTATGACCAGAAGTCTGCAACATCGCAAATGGAGGGAGCTATGTGGTTTTGCTTGACCATCGATATGAATTTAGCACAAATCTTTTTCAGTTTGGTTTTTTCTACAAAGTGGCTTTTTCAAAATTTTCCAGTAGCTATGTATTACTCTTTAGAGTTTTTCCTCAACTGTTAATTTTATTACAGATTGTTGGTAAACCGTACTTCCCAAATTAATTCAGACAGTAAAACTCTAGACAATTGGTAGTAGCCAGTCGCAAGGGACCACTGCACATCTAACCACCACATCCTCCACAGACAGAATATCATGTTTCACCGAGACAAATCACTGAGTTACTGACATACAACCATTATTTTTAATTGAGCTGAAAGTGATTTTTACTTGCCACTGCACTGCAGAACTCACTATAATAACTATTTTATTGATTTGTTTTTGTGTGTTGCCATAGAAACCAGTGGTAGACTCAAGCAGCTCTACTCCAGGAATCTCCAGAGAGGGCTATTTGTACCTTATGGAAAAGAGTAAGTCTTTCTTCAATGTGTTTGACAATTGTCTACTCTTCAAGAATTATTGCAGTCCTTTTTGAGTTACTTTTTTTCTCTTAAATGAAAATCTGCGCATGTAAGTAAAAGTTAAGCTACTGCAAAAATTCCTCACATAAGAGATTGCTCCTTCTACTCCCAGCCCAAAATAATGTTTATTGATATCAACAAGTTGTGTTGTTACTACAGCGAGCTCCTTGTGAGATTTTCTGAAGTATTCAGGATATTTAATTACTCATTTTTTGACTGTTGTTGAATTTCTCAGCTGTGCATATAAAATTTCATGTATATTAGTGTGCATGAAAAACTTTCCTCGAAATTAACAGCAGAAGCAAAAGAAGACTGTTTTGCTTTTTAAATCGTTTAACTGATAACAATGAATACAAAGCTAAAATGTAACAAACAAGGTTAAAACAAAAAATATTAGGAGCCCGAAACGTTTTGGTCGACCTCTTAGATCATTATCAATCAAAAATACAACACATTTTAAAAAAATAAAAATCAATCGAAACCTGTAAGGCTAGAGTCCTCTGAGTTCTGTGTTTCAGATTCTTACCTTCTTTGTTTTAGCCTTGTACTTTTAATTTTATTTTCTTAGTATTGTACTTATGTGTCATAGGCCGCTTATAGTTCCTTCTTCAATCTTTAACATTTACCTCCCATCCTTGATAGCTCTCCTGCTTTACTGCAGATTCCATCAACCTTAGCACATTCTGAGTCATCCGATCTTGGTCAAAAAATCGGGAAAATAAAAGAAAAGGAGAAGCAAAATACAATAAAATGGTAGTTTCTCTATGTGAGATTTTTATCCATTCTTTTATTAAATGTAAACGTTCTATTATCCTAAAGCTACTGTAGTGTTCTGATTTCAAAGAGATTTTCTTGATTGTTGATCATATAATATTGGTGACTGTCTTTATTTTTTTATAGAAACATTGGGTACAACATGGACCAAACATTACTGTATGTACCAAAGAGATACCAAACAATTTACAATGATTCCTTACAACCAAATGACTGGAAAATTCGTAAGTATATCTGTATGCTGTTTTACGTTTTCACACAGAAAGCATGGAGCATAAAATCCGATCTTGCAGGTTACAGACTTACTTAATCCTATCTATAACTAAATGGAGCTCCTAACTGTAATGCAATCATTGAATTTTAAGCCAGTGCAAATAACTCAAATTTAATTTACTTTAAAGTCAAAGTGAACATCGTACAGTTTCCTGATAGCCTGATTTTTAAGATTCTGTTATTTTGTATCACTGAACTTTCCCCATTTGCTCTATTATTTTCTTCAAAAATTTTGTCCCTTATTTCAAAGTTCACTCAATATTTGCTCATTTAAGTTTCAATCCCAATTCATCCTTCACTTCAACTCAGAAAAAGGAATTAATAATCAGAATAAAATATTTATTGATGTTACAGGCACTCAATGATATTCCCTCATTTAAAAGGACTATAGTACAATAATGCAGTAATTCATTTTGAGCAGCTGGTTGTCATAAGCATGTGATGATCTGTAATTATTTCGGTATCCTGGATTATGTCTAGTAAAGTTATTTCATTTTTTTTCAGAATACCTCAGAGAAAATGACGCTAGCTTCATGTGTCCGAAGAATGTCAGACTCTATAGAAAAAAGATTTTGTTTTGACTTAACCCCCGTGGACCGGTGAGACACCTCTTTCAATATTTATGATCAATGGGTATCTTGCACATAGTTGAAGTGCTTTCCAGCCTTCAGTTGTACTTGATTCCTTAATAAATGTGATTTTAATCCAATGCTAAAAATAAATTTTAAGAAATGAACACATCCTAAATGCTGCAGATATATTATTATGTAGATTCCAATTCAGTGCTTTCTGTGGGCAAGTACTACCTACCTCCAGAGGTTCAAAGCCCAGTGATAATGAGGGTAATGATCAGCAATTCCTGATGTCAACAGGTTGTCGTTCAGTGTGACAAACATGAGTCCACTATGGGAATATAGCAAATTTAGTTGCATAGTTGTCATGTTCTGATAGAAATTATCCTTTTTTGAAACAAGATCAGGTATTTTGTCAGATATTTCAGCAAGTCTAGTCATTTAACTGTAATGAGTAGAGGAGACTCTTTGATATATGTAGTAAAACTCATTGACAAATGGGAAAGAAAATTTTTCAGGTCCATGATGAAAAAGGAGTGCCAAAATACCAAGGCACAAAGGGTAATATCACATTTTCTAGTAGAGATTGTCTGCCAATCTTTAAGATGGTAATGAAACAATATTCAATAATTTAATCTGCTTGGCCATGATTTCTGAACATTCATACTGTGCATAGCAAGCTCTCAAAAATGACTAAAAGATGGGCTTTGTCATGATCCTCGTGGCTTGCACAGTTCCTTTGTTATAACATATGAATATTTCTTAGATATTTTTGTATATTATAAATTGCTGACATGCCATCTGGCAAGCTTTTACCATGTGCAATTCATGTCAATTAATGATGTCAGAAAAATCAATCATAAAAAAAGCCCTGTTATTTCATATGGGCATGCTCTGTTAAAAATTATGCTTGCCATATTAGAGGAAAAATGTAGGCTGCAAGGCAAAGGATATCGTACTTACTCAATAATTTTTGCTTGTTTCTTCAGACCCGGTGTGGTTTATACACTTCAGGCCCTCTCAGAAGAGGACCGCAAAGCATGGATGGATGTTATGGATGGAAAAGAACCCGTAAGTGAATCACCTCCACCTGTAGCATGTACGGTATGTAGTGTTCATCTCACCCTATCTGCTTTTTTTTTGCACTCACAAATGTCAATGTTATTAATAATCTCTTGTGAAACTTTGCTTCATATCTTGAAATTCTCTTTCGCACATTGCAGTTTGTGTTTGATGATTGAAATTGTTCCTATATTAAAATGCGTTGCCTTGTCAAATAAATGTTTTTTGTATTCAACAAATCCACCGTCCAAGACCGACATGACATAAACTGCAGAGGCCATGTGAGTCTCCACATCCAGGGCTGTGATTAATTGTTTATGTCTTTCTTCAAAGATCAAGCTATCAGGGTTTCTGTCATTGGGTGTATTCAGATTTTGCTTGAGAGGCAGTCTGTAATACAGGTGCCTGTTTTGGGCCTGTTTTTGGATATTCTGCTCTAACGAATTTTGGGGAAAAAATTTATAATTGATATGAATGTGCTCTGTGGATCAACTGGTCTCAATGGAAAACGTCATTGCTAAGTTTTTTTTGTTAGAATCCGAGTAGTACGGTGTTGAAACGAAAATTGATAACTTCAAAATACAACCTCTCACCATAACCTCTAAGGTCCAACTCAGAAACTCTTTGATTTGATAGGCAAACTTTTCTCCTTTACTCGGGAACTCTTATCATGAATAACACGATGGTTAGTAGTTATTAGGGCCGAATTTATGATGTTTTCCCTGTGAACCATTCGTAATATGCCACCCTTAAATCTTTGAAAAAAGGGCTTTTTTGTAGACTTCCAGGCGTATCAAGATTTAAACAACATAAGAAAAAGGAAAGCAATTAAAAAGAAAACAAGAAGAAAAAAAAATTGGCTCTTGGGAAACCTTCAGTCTTGTCTCTGTTTTTTGCTGCCAGGGGTTCCAGCCCTCCAAGCCCCTCCTTTAAAAAAAAAAAAGGAAAATTGGACTCTGTCAGTTACAGACAAGAAACTTTTTACAATCAATAACTGACTTGGGCGAAATTTGTTTAGTTCAAGTTTCAAAGGGTGTGATTTTGTCGAAAGATTTTTTTAAAACGTCGCGTCTTCAAAACTTATTCAAAATTTCCAATTATGATCCCCCTACTGTAGGATTATAAGGTTGGCAACATCTTGAGCTCTTTCACTACATCATTATTATCACAGGCTCACAACCTCGTTCACTTTGATCGCATGTTTGAAAGTATGCTTTACCTCACATTTTGAATCAAAATGTTTTTGCCTCGGACAAAGCAATCATTCTAATATTAAATCCCAGCATACGCCCTGACTATTAGCATACCAGCACTTTATTAGAGTTGCTTTCCTTCTCTTCCATGACGATTGCTGACTATCTTTCAGTATGCCAAAAAGTCCACTGCTAACAAGCTTCTGTTTTTACACTAAACGAAGAATTTTGATTTAGATGAATAGAGTTATTGAGAAAAAAGCTTGGAATGGTCTAACAACATCCCACCAATATTTTCCAGGAATGAAATTTGTTTTGATTTGTGCAGAGAGAATGCTGCTTTAATTAGAATGTAAGATTTAAATTCAATTTTTATTTACTAATTGTGCTGTTTTTATGTATCAGACGTATGGCATGCCTGCTACCGCAAAAGTACCAAAGCCTGAAGAGAGGTCTCTCGATGAAACCGGTTTTATGTTTGTGACTAAGTGTATTGAAGTAATAGAAGCAAGAGGTAAATTTTTCATTCATATGATATTCTAATAGGTGTATCAAATGCCATAGAATTTTTTTCCCCTTCTCATCAGTCCATAGAAACTCCTTTCTGTCTATCTACATTGAAAAAGTAGTAACAGCAAGATTTGGGCAGGAACTTAGATTTCTTGAATTCTTTTTGATCACCGAAAGGAAAGTTAGAAACACAAAATCAATCTCTGATTATTTTTGTTTTGCTGTATTACAGTTTTGCAGTCAAATATCTAACATTAAGACTTATTAACAATGCTCAAAGGAAAAAAATTTTCACATTGTATCCAAAATTTGATAAAGTCCTCTTTTTTAAGTTCCTCCAACGAGCTGGAAGTGAGACGTATCATTGTCTGTTCTACAAAGGGGTGTTTCAGTATGGCAGTCTCTTAAAATGTCATTGTTAATGCTACCCTTTCCTTTCAAAAGATTATAGAACTTAAATGCTTTATTCTAAAAGGGAAAGAAAAACAACAGAAAATCTCCGAAAAATTTTTGGTGAGAATTATTAGAATCACCTTAGGTATAATCAGACCCTTCAATTTTGAAAACTCCTGTTCAATGGCTGATAACAAGTTGAAATGAAAAAACTGTATGTTGAGGGTTAAACTGTAATCCACGGATCATTGAATGTTTTATTATGACTTAGCGCAAGTGTCTCTTGTCAACAAAAATGGTGTCATTGTCATAAAGATGTGATCTTAATGAATCATGGATCAAAAGTGTTCTCAAATCGACTCTTAGTCAACGAGCTATTCAGCAACTCATGTCTTGTACCTACCCTTACTGACACCTGACAACAATTAAAATTCTTAAGTCAAAGTAGGAGAATTACTCTTTGCTTTAACCACTATTGCAGTCAAAACTGTTATTGTGGAGTGGTGTACTCAAAAGACTGTTGCTGTCAACATTTTACACATGGATAACTTTCATTTTCCGTACTTTGATTTCTATTTTAAGACTATCAATGAGTACTTTTTTTCATAATGTATGTCATGTACGTTTCACTTAAATGTCCTTGTTTGCGTGTTTAGGTTTAGAAGAACAGGGCTTATACAGAGTCGTTGGCGTTAGTTCCAAAGTAACTAAATTATTGGCAATGGGACTAGACCGACGGAAATTGGAAAAGCTCTCCCTGGAAGATCCCTTCGAGTGGGAAAGTAAAACAATCACAAGTGCTCTGAAAACATATTTACGGAATCTACCTGAGCCATTAATGACATTTCGATACCACAATGCCTTTATTACCGCTGCCAGTAAGTTATAGTCTGCAATTTACTTTGTTCCTTTTGAGGTCTATTTCGTCGCTTGACTGACAAAAGGGCGGATCTACACTTAGAGATGAGCCTAGGAAAGAATTAAGTTTAATGGATAACAGGATTCATGGCAAAGTGTAGTTATGCTCTCGTGTCAGGATGGCAACGATTTGTAGATGTCGAAGGCAAGTAGTAAAATCAGGCATTTTGTCAAATGCCTAGAAAAATAGTCAAATATTCTGACTTACAAAAAAATTTCCATTCTTCTCCTAATGACAGATAAAAAAATTCATAACGCCTGAAAGAATGAATTCCCTGTAAAAATGTGCATCATACAATAGTATTTCGAACGATTTTTAGCTCCTGAAAGATAATTTATCTTGAAATCTTCAGCATGTCTGAAAATACAACATTTTTAAAATTTTAAAATTAAAATATATGCAAAGCCTTTGTAGAGGAAGAAAGAAGAAAAGTGCATAGATTTGATGAGTTATGTTTCCCAAAATATTGAAAATTCGTGAGTTCTTCTCCATAAAGTTACAATATTTTGTAATCCGTCAGAATTATACTATTTGCCTAGGCATTTGATGAAATGCCTGATTTGACTAATCGCCTACGACAGAGACACTATTTCGATCTATATCTTATTTGGATATTCTCTTTAGCTCAGATTATTCATTAATCAACAAAACTTCTAAAATTAAAATCTAGTACTTAGGAAAAGTAGAAAAAATATTATAGTATCTTTTGGGCACTTTTGGTTTCTGTATCTGACAGTGTTTCTGGCGGTTAAGAAAACCTGGAAAGTCAAGGAATTCATTGGGAAAGTCAGGGAATTTCACGAGAAGCGTTTCAACTCAGCAGTGTACCTAATTATTTCAAAAAATCCAAAAGGAATTTTTGTTCAAAGGTCTGGTAAAGTCAAGGAATTTGGAAGTCTTTGAGTCAGGGAAAAGTTAAGGAAAATTAGGGAATCCTTGGATTCCCTAATATGATCTTGGAGGATGAATTTCATAAGCAAGAAAAACTTGTGCCACTATTCGCAATGTTATGTAGGTACTCTGTGCCATTTATTCTTTGAAAGCAAGAAAGTCAGTCACATGTAAACATGAAGTTTCACATGATTTCTCTTAAATCTTCATTTCTATCTATATACCTTGGCCTCTTATATTTTGTGCATTCCAGTAAAGCAATACATACATTAAAAAAAGTTTATTTTTCAGATCAAATTAGTAGCGTAAGGTCAATGATACTCTGGATTGAAAATATTTGTAACTCAATAATTTGCCAGTATGGCAGATAAAAAAAAAGAGGTGAGTGAGGGGAAAGTGGTTCCACTAGTGGTCAGTTGCATGGTGCCAGCAGCCCTGGGACTGAGTAATGATCTTATTCCGTTTCGGAACTCAGTATTTGCCGTCCCTCTATCTCTGAGGGACGAACACCCTTGTAAGCTGGGTGATCATAATTTTTATCTCGTTTTCCAGAAATGTTCACAAGGTACTTAGGCAAATACAGTTTCTCAAAATTTCATGTGAAAATCTTAGTCATTTTTTGAAGAAGTGAGGTGATAGTTGAAATGTTGAAGCACAGAAAGCAAAGACTGTTTCTGTATTGTTATTACATACAAATGTTTATTTTGAATTAAAAGAAACTTTATCAGCCTAAGATGAAATGGTTTCGTAACCTTCTTAATGTGGCTATCCTCTGCTCAAGAATAACAGATCCCACCTCCAAACGTTTTTCCAACTTCCTCCCGTTTAGTGGCTTTTCCATTTATTTTTATGCTTAATTTTTATTTTTGCAGAACAAGAAAAGCGAACTGATAGAATAAATGCTGTTCATGCTTTAACTCATAGAATACCGCAGCCAAATTTAAACATGTTAGATATCCTTATCAAACATCTTACCAAGTGAGTATTTAATCCACTTCTTTTTAAGCATTACATGGATTACATTTTGCAATAAGCTATTTTATTTTTGGCTCATCCACCAAAACACTTATCAGCGCAGGGTACTATTGGCATAAATGTTGTTTCTAAATTGAGCTAGAAATAGTGGTTCTCCACCGCAAAATGTGGTCCACATGAAAAAAAAATATAGTTAAGAAGGATCAAAAGTTCTTTGAAAGTAAATGTATCGAAACAATTTTACCTCCATCATTTTTACTTCACCCAGGTGAGAAGAGAGAACATTCTGAGTAGGGTTTTATATGTAAAAACCACTTGCGTCAAACACACAGCATGCACTATAAATTCACAGACTGGCTCTGATTATCCACTCTCCGATCAATGTAACCTAGGATCAAAGTAAGTGATCACTATAATCTGTAAAGTAAAACCTGCATTTCATAATTTCTACTGCTTCATCGGAAAACGACCTTTCGTCATGGACCATTTTTCTCATTATGATGTACTTGTCATTTGCATTTTTCAGTTTATTTTAATTTCATTCGATGAAGTCTATTAACAAAGGTGCATTTGTAAGGTTTGTATTGCAGTATCAAGAACATTTCTAATGATACATATGCTACGGTCAATGTTAGGGGGCCGGCCGGTGCTGTCACTGACCGGCCAATGATAGCATAGGCTGAAATCGAGGGCCGATGACATGATTGGCCGGCCAATCATGTCATCGGCCAAAAAGCCCGGTCACTGTTAACATTTTCACCGCGAGGTGAACAATGGACGGCCGATGATGATAGTGGCCAATGACTGACGGCCATTGTTCGTTCACATTATAAAACACCGTAAAACTGAAAACATACCACATGAGAGGAAACAAATGAGTGAATGTGTAATTACTACAGCTGTTTGATTTATTTTTTAGAAGGTTTTTTTTTATTTATTTTACATTTCTTTCGACTTTAAAAATTGGAGCATTTTTTTTCGTTTTTCTTTTTCTTTTTATCCCACAGCTGTAATAATTATCTCAAGAAGCAACGTTGAGTTTTAATTTACCTTATTTGTTGGTGCTCGCCTCACTCTTGTGGCACTTGGAGTTACAGAGCAGTCCAGCGGCTCGACAAACACATCGGTTGTTTGTGCACTTTTGCCGGCAGTTGCATCGTTTGAATGCCGCTTGGTCACTCAACTCTCTCACATTCAATTGATAAATGATAACAGATCCAACATTGGCCGTCACCCCTCGGCCAAACAGTACATTGGCCGGCCAATGACATCAGCGGCCGGTCAATATGTGACGGTTTTATTGTTAAGAAAACATTTCTCAAAATCGCTGGCCATTGACGTCATTGACCGGCCAATGACATCTTCGGCCGAAACGCCCGGCCATGGTCAACATTGGCCGGCCAATGACATACACTTCCCCATTCCCTAACATTGACCGTAACACATACATGTATACCACTCCTAAAGTGCATTTCGGCGCTCTGCAACACCCAAATGCCACATGTGCCTATCTTACCAAAAGTAACTGGGTACCTGACAATGTACTCTCTCGTTGTCGACGCCCTGGCACCATCCTTTCATGGGGTATCCCCGTCGTCTTCTTCCACAGGGTATCCAATCCAAAACTTGTTCGAGCAACCTCTCCTCTGTCTTTCTTTACACATTCTTTTGATGATACATTGATTTATGTGCTGTTTCCTTCTTTTTTTCAGTGTTGCTGCCCATAGTGATAAAAATTTAATGCCAGTTAGTAATCTAGGAGTTTGTTTTGGTCCTACTTTGCTTCGTCCGGAGGAGGAAACAGTAGCAGCCATTATGGATATTAAATTTTGTAATGTTGTCGTAGAAATTCTAATAGAAAATTATCAAAAGGTAACTTCTTTCTTTGTGCATTTCTCCATTGTTTTCATTATTGAACTAATCTATTCAGCATTCAAGACTGTCTCACCTCTCATCATCAACACTAAGTTAGGAGGGTAGTCAAAAGGGTCTTGATTCTATCGAAAAGTAAGAAAAGATTATTCAGAACCTGAATCTTTTCTACTGAAAAAATTAACTGTGTCACAACCCTGAGAGGAGAAAATATTTTTGTCCGACCAGCTTAGCAGCGCGTGAATGTTTTTAACCTATGGCAAGAAGTGGGCAGGGAACAAATAACGTCAGGATACTCTTTTCACAAAAATATTTTATCTCTCAAGTGCTTTCTTTTATTTTTCTTAACATGAGCTCTCAATAGTGCAAAATTATCATTCTTGAAATTTACCGGACTCAAATTTTGTCAGCTACAGTCGGCGCAAGCTGTGAACCCAAAACCTCTAAATTTGACTACAAGTCGGGAAAATTATACTCTAAGTTCAAGTCATACATAAGTTGAGCTTTTTTACGTCAGACTCAAGCCATTCTTAGCGCCTAAATGGTGTAAATCATTAATCAATGACCGAATAACGAAGTCAACACTTACCTTAACCGCTAATCTGCCAACAAAATTCGAGCCCAAGATGAACGTTTGTTACTTGATTCATTATAATAGAGATGATATTACCATCAGAGAAAAGATTGAATCATCTAGAATAGAGTCGTGCTAGTCTTGCTGTAAGTTACAATGTTAATTTAGGGTATAAGTGTTTTATAACTGTAACTATGATTTCTATTACAGATATTCAAAACACAGCCTGAGCAAAGTATTGTAGATCCGTTACCAGACTCCAGAGGCTCCTCACCTCAACGTCCTCCTCGGCAATCAACGACGGTGCCGTCTCATCAGATTAGACAGAATAAATTTCAACCACCTTTAACCCATGTAAGCACCTATACTCATATTACACACAACCTTTCTTGGTAACACAAGTAAGATTAAGGAAAGACCCGTATTACGATGTACCCGTATTACGTACATATTACGGAATGTTAGTGAGTTAAATTAAATATTTATCAGTTGGAAATCTACCCAAATGGGTTTTTTACAACGTTCATTATTTTGCATAGAAACACTCCTTTTCTGGCTGTGTTTATCATCTCCTGAAACAAGTTTTTTTCCCGAGATTGGTCGCTTCCGAACTGAAAGATTTATTTAGAGTTTCGATGGGTCACCAAGTAACCTTGAAACGTTTACTACAAATTGGATCTCAACAATTGAATGAGATATTAACATTGCTCAGAATATATAATAGAATGCACATTAATACTTTTGACTCATTCTATGTGCGCAGTAGGTACCTGCCTAGATGCCTGGTGTAGAATGTAGCAAGTAGTAATGTCATAGATGTGTGACATGATCTGGAAAAAGGTAACTTAGCTACCTTCAGTCGAAGGACAGTTGATAATATAAATTAGTAATGTGCTCAGCGTTCTAACTGTTCTCCCACCAAATGTGCTTATAAACTAGACCCTGACTCTACTGCCTGGTAATTTGGTGCAGCTTTGATTCCTCTGGTCCCTCTACTCCCGGCTAAATTCTTGTTTTCGGTATCAAATATCTTAATGGCTCCTAAAAATTAGTATTCAGCTCTGAGATCAAATGGCTCCAAAACTGTTAAAGTGCGGATACTGTTGTACCCTTAGCTTAAATAAAAAAAGAAATAAATAAAGTTGAAATTCCGGCCCAGCAGGGTCTATGAATGTTTTATTATTCTTTACTTTATCACTATATGACTTCTATAAAATCATTGAAGACTTTCACTTGCTACATTTTCAGTTTTCTCTTGTTTCCATATTATTGTCATTGGCTCAGTAGTATTTTCCTGATTCTCAGAAGAACCCTTCTCTACTAAGACAGTAAACAAACAAGTTATCTCCTTGTTCCAGTTAAATTAGTATTCTTTTTTGCGTTATCCACAGGCAATTACCAAATCATATTACGATGGACCATTACTAAGTGCCAGTTTACACAACGTAGCCTCAGCATCTCGAGAAAATCTGAACAGAGAAAGGAGCGACAGTTATACAGGAACACAGTCATCATCAGGACTTCCTTCATACGTTTCCTCCACCTATGGCCAAATCAGAAATTCAGAGCTATCGCGTACTTCTGAATCGACGAGAAATTCCGACATAAAAAATCCCAATGCTGAGCTTTCAAAAAACTCTGAGCTAATGAGGAATTCAGAACTTTCAAGAAATTCAGAGCTGAGAGGGAACATGGAGCTATCAAGACCAATCTCCGTGCCCGCATCAGGATCGAGCACGACGGGTAGGATGTCTGTCTCCTCTAACAATAGCACCGCTCCTGCGTTTCCTGAATCTAATTACCACACAATTGGCTCTTACAGTTCTAGTCCGCACCAACCAAAACCCACTCACCCCAGTCAACAGTCATCCTACTTTTATTCTAATGTTGGTAAGTAGTGTGTCTAATCATTTCAAAATCACTCACTCAATTTCTGTCGTAATGGTACGCAGCTGAAACTGAATAATAAGCCTCTGCTCTTCTCGATTGGGCTGCATATTCCTATATCTATAGTTTTCTGTCTGACCAATATCATGTGGAAACGGATATCTGATCTCTTGATAGTCATTAAGACTATTGCCATCATCAGATGTACAAGAAAAGAAAGGAAAACTTAAAAACTAACAAAACAAGAGTTACAACACTAAGAATCTTTCCATTTGTGATAATCAAATAAATTATATTTCCGAGCATATCAACCCATTAATTTCTATGAACCAATAAGTCTCGCCTAACGAGCACCCCTTCTTCTTTTGGAGATTATTAATCTCATCGGAAGTCTCGGCCCGATCGGATGGCCTTTGGCCACTCCACTCTTGTCTCTCAGCTTAGCCTTTACGTATCAGAGCACCCTTGTGACTTGCCAGTTTTTGGAATTTGGACTTTGTTAACTCTCGCCGCTCATCCTACAGTTTGCAGATGCTTATTTTTCCTTTCACAAGTTCTCTAATTTTTTGCCCCCTTTTCAATAAATTGTAAAACGCATCTCAATTCGACTTTTCATCTTCATTTCATTTCCAAAAAACCTCTAATCAATATTTTTCTCATTAACAATTTTATTGTCGGTGAACTTGGGAGATGCTGGTTAATTATAGCTCATCCGCTGCTCCGTCAGAGATAAGATTTGCTTTTGTGTAAAGTTTCCGCAAAGATAAAAGAGAACAAGTAATGTGAAAGTGAGTCTGTGTGTAGGGGAAGTGAAGGTCATCCCTTTTCAAGTTTTCTTTAAATACATATCCATAGCCTTCACACATATCTTACAACTGTCAAGGACTTAGAGGATATTAGTATTTTAGCTTTTGTTCTGTCAGTTTTTAGTTTTTTGTTTTTCTACGACACCTATAACACAGCAAGCAGCAGTGTTTTTAAGGACAGCAATGGCTAAAATGGCTCTCAGGTGATTTTGCAACAATTTTCCATGATATCAGGTGAAGAAGAAATTACAGATACATAGGAATATATGATTTGAAAGCGATTTAACCCATGATTTAAGTGATAATTGTACCTAATTTTAACCAGCTCAGTCAAAAATAAAAATAACTAAAGTGTGTTTAGCCATCGTACTCTTAATAAGTGTAAAATGATCAGCATGCCTCTCCAAAAAAAATTGTGCTAAAATTAACTTATTCTCCTTATCATGAGAATATCAACCTTTTCACCGAATTTTATGACAAATGGCTAAGCGCAGTATCCTCAACTCTAGACTCATCCTTGAAACCCCCTCTAACCTTCCATCAGCTAACCTTAAATATCAGTTTTAAAAATTTCCTTGAGAATACAAATCGGAATCTTGGAGCCTGATGTGAGAATTCCAACAAACTTTCACATGCTGATTAATAAATGAAATAGATACCATACCAAAACAATGGTACCCATAAGACATTTTTGAGGGATCATGTTGTCAAAGCTTGTAAACTTACCTGAAATGTGCATTCTGATGACGCAAATCAAAGCGACCAGCCTGTGCAAAGTGGCCTGTCTGGAATTGAATCTTACATATCTCCATATCCATCGCACAATTTTACTCTGGATTTGTTGCTTGCATCTTCTCCTTCTAATGGTGATTGATTTTTGTCAAAATTGATCAGCGGATGACTTACCAGGTATTAATTCAATAATACTAAAACTTTTTTCAGTTAACTCTGACCAACTAAACAGTACCAGTAGCTCAAATGATTCTATGTCATCACTTTCTTCTCGAGATATTAACAATCACTCGTCCACCTATGCAACTGTGACTCCGCAGAAGAATAGCCGAGGAATTGCCAAAATGGGAATACACTATGCCACCAGATACAGGCCTCAAGATAATATGTAAGTCTATTCAACTTTCTTTATCATGCTTTGTATTTCTCGTAGAGGAATTGACCCATTGAAGAATTTCAAGAGTTTTTTCTTCCGATTCTCATTTCTTCAGGTTGAATCAAATTAATTCCTGTGAAAAAATATTTCAACCTGCTCCATTTTATATGTTCCATCTCCAAATGTGTTTTTGTTTCAATTTTCTCATTTTTTATTCCATGAGAGGAGGTAGGTTTTATGCATGTTCAGTCGGACCCTGATAATTGAGACTAGAAGCATTGTAAGGATAATCAAAAAGCATGCACAAAATCCGATTCTAGTGTAATCTCCACAATGGAAAGGAATTCTGTAATACAAGACCAAATGATGGAAAATGAGAAAACCTACCCCTTGAAACCAGCCATTGATACGACCATCATACATGAAAAAGACTATTTGATCTTTGAAAATTCGTCCGACCACTGCCTTTCCCCTTACTTTGTTTCTGTAAAAAAGAAAGAAGGAAAAATTCTCCTCTTAGACCCACGGATAGTCTGGCTCCGTCTGTAGATGTTTTGAATCTAATCTTCTAATGGTCTAAAAACTTGTGAATGCTGCCCAACAAAGGTAGTTTTAATGCAAACTTGATATGACTTGTTGACACATTAGAGAAAGTTTTCTGTGAATACCTATCTCAAATATAAATTTTCCTATTATATTTTACTGAAATCACTCCTTTGAAAGTTTTTTGTCCAGAGACGGAGGTTCCTTTTCCAGTGGATGGTCATATATCGACGGTGTAATTCGGCAATCACATAACTAGCTGTGACGTCGCAGACTTCCTGCCATACTTTATTTATTTTTTAACGGAAAACTACTCAAAGGCAACTCTTAAAAACTGCCGTGTTTTTTTTTTCTCTGTGTAAAGGAAATTCTGCGTAAACTTCAAAGAATGATATCAATTTGTTCTCCTTTAAAAAATTAATATAGAAGTGGAGATTTTGAGACACCGCAAACAAGTTATGTGATTGTCAACTTACACCGTCGATATGTAGTCTGTATGACTCTTTGTTTATTAGAAAAATTTATTAACCTATGATATCAGACTTTGACGTTATCTTATTCATCTGGTCTGGAAATAAAACTGAATAGTGTAGGTTTATATACAAATCCATTCAGGGGTGCATAGTGAGGGAGATAAAGGATTTTTTTGCTTTAAGTTATCCGGCTCACCTAAATTAAATTTTAATATTTCGTAATGATTTTAATCTTTAAACTTGCTGAACGTACCCCTTTTATGCTTGATACTTTCAGAAGGAAAAAGTCCAGAGGAATACTCCTTTACCTCCCTCTGGCACTGAGTATGTCCCCGCACTGCTGTGCTTAGTCAAAGAATAGTAAATCCATATTTTGCTTTAAGTCCACCAATGGCAACATATACCTAATACTGCTTGTTTCAAAGAATAATATACAAATTACATAAAAGTCAAAATTGAACCATTTACGCCGATGATTACGGATAAAGTCGCAACTGCTCCTTAAGACTCCACACTTTGACGTTTTACTGTTTGTTGACAATCCTGCATTTACTGCTGACTAACTTTGCACAGCAGTATAGACTCCTAATTCTCTCCCCCTAACTCCCAGGCCCAAAGCTCATTATCAGATTTTTGTCCTTTAGTTCATAATACTAGTGGGTGGCTCTTGCTCTTATACTATTTGAATTTACAGTTTTACACTTTGAACATAAATAGAAAAACCTCAAACGATGGGTAAAATTTAATGCATATTTCTCATCTATAAAATTGAAGGTTAAATTTGATAGATCATTGAACCAATGCTCAGAGTTTTATTTCCGCTTTGAAAGTTTTGTACCAAGCTCTCGTGACCGTCAAACTCTTGTAATTTTTAGAGTCCAGTTCCAATACATTACATTGCCTTATAGCTCAGTGCCCGTATTTTGGTTAATTGACTCTCATAAATTTCTCGGGAATTGAATGCTTGATTTAGTTATAAATTGTGTAATAGAATTTGAAATAAGTGGTCTTTCGTGTAGGAATCTCTCGTGCCACTCCGTCCTTAGGGTCCGCTCCAATCAGCAGGAGTTCAATTCGGGGATCAGGTGATTCAGCATTTCTTAAAATTTTGTACATCATTGTTGTCATTTTTGCTCTTTTTTATTTTTTAGTTTTTTTGTTCCATCATAAATCTGTTTTGTGTATTCCTATCCTGTTTTTTTTTTTTTACTTATGTGATAGAGGAATGTTTGCTGTGGATAGTTTCCTCTTTTTGTGGCTCTCCACCACAAACGATTATACCTTCCTTCCCCTAATTAATTATTATCTAGCTTTGTTTTGCTTGGTGTTCATTCATCATTCATCCCGTTTTTTGTATACTTTCGTAAGCATTGTTTAGGGGTAGTTTTAAGTGTTTGTACCGTTGTCTACGTTTTATGATGGAGTACCTCTGTTTGAGATGAAATATTCACCTTCATTATCCAGGCATTGTAGCATTATACTTTGGTAATATTCACCCGAGTACTCGCATTTGGTGGCTTATTTACTTCAATTATATTATTCTTGTTTTGTTTAGATGCCAAAGTAGTGTTTGCTGTAGTCTTTTGCACCAAATTATGTGTTTTCATGTTTGTCAGAGTGTTTTTTTATACATATATTTTGAATAGAGAATCTCTGGAATAGAATTTTGGCTCCCCAATTACTCTCTGCTCACTTCAGTCGCTTTATATGTTTTAAATACACCAAGTTCTATGTCAGTATTGTTGATGCAGATTTTGAAAGGGGTTTTTATCGAAAATTTCTTGCCTTTTTTTTTTATTTATAATAAGTATTGCAAGATGCAGCAATGATTTTTCATAATAAAGATGAAACATTTTCCAATGAATAAATCTCTGAAGTATAATAATTATTTAAGCATTTTGAAGGGACATCAACCCAACAAGGAGGGATAAGTCGACTGCATTTCGCAATTTGGAACTATAAATTCTGGCTCTTCTGTAAAAACACTAATGTGCATTGGGAAACTAATGGTACATACGTTGTTTTTAAACCGGGCTAGATTTTATAGTTCCAAATTGCAAAATGTAGTCCAAGTGAAGCTAATTGTAAGATAAATGCAATCTAACCATCTTATGGTTGCCAAAGAGGCTAGGTACACTAAAATAATGTACACCCACAGCATCAACACCAATTTTCAGTATTTTCCTCAGATCTTTTTTTATTAGACTGTCCTCTCATTTCAGTGATTTCAATAATTAGTCACATGTTTGACAACTGTACTGGATGTGGCCTAAGTTAGTGAGCAAAACTTAAACCTTGCCGATTTTTTCATGTTCTTTGTTTTTAATACTTCCCCTTTAAAAGCACTTAAACTTGTGTGCGCAGTTACTTTTTGTATCAATAGTGTCAGCTATTGCACGTCTTAATTCAAATTTAGTCTCAGGCTTCTTTTTTTTTCGTTCTCCTTTTAAATTTCTTACAAGTGGTTAAAAATTTGCGTATAATGTTTACATTTTTTTTCTTCAGGAGCTTCTTAAAGGCTCTGATAATTTAAATTCCAGTGTAGAAAATTTGAGTGTACAAAAGTATAAGTAGCTCATCATTCATTCACAATCAAGAAACATAGGTGGAAAATGCAGCGCTCTCCTTGAATTTGGATGGGCTAACAAGAATACATTACTGCCCAAAAATGAGAGCTAATAATAATGATTGCAAAAATGAGCGAATTCTTTGAAAATTCATAATTTACCAACTTATGTCAACCTGATGACCATCAAGTTAAATTAGATGGCGGTGGGAGGGGGGGTCTAGCTAGAAATTTTGAGTCTGAAAGTAAAGTAAATGTTCTCAACTTGATGGTGTTGAACTGTCAACCTAGCTCAAAAGTCTTTTGACTTGCCCAATAGCTCTCCTAGGTAAAGTAGTTTTGCACTGACTGTAGTTTGCAATCTTTTGGCTCCTGATCTTCCCTTTTGAAGTGTAGTAGCTTCTTGTTCATTATTCTCATCATGGGATGGCATTTTTCCATTGCAGACAATGTAAACTAAAACAAATTGAGCCACAAGACAAGGTACGAATTGGAGCTCTCTGATGTATGTATTCTCTTAAAAATTTCACAGAAAACATTTACGCTGCAAAAATGACTGAACTTAACTGCTAACCGAAACACTAACGTTTTTATTTAGCACTGGTTACGAAAAATTTGAACTTTACACTCCCAAGAATAAGCAGAGTCTCCTTGAATCACATAGTTTTCAATAATATTTGTTGCTTAAATCATGTTTTATATAAAATTTTGATGAGATATCATGTATCATAATGCTTAAATTTGCACCTTGACTAGTGGTTCATTGCAACTTATAAAAATAAATCAGTAATTTATTGCTCTGTTAAAAACCAAACTTTGAGATCAGCTCTTTCGTCCGCCTGATTTCATTCTTTCCAAGGCTCAAACGTGAAGGAACATATGCCCATACTCGCATGCCAGCAGAACATCAATTTTACCTCCTCTATGATTTGTCTCTCAGAACATATTTTGCTCCTGTAATCGCTTGAGCTGAAACTTTATTTCAGTGATATATATTACTAGTTTCACAAAACGACCACATTTGTAAAAAAAATAAATGAGCAATCAAAAATTGCTTTTTTTAAATTAGTTATTTGCCAATGTAGCATTGAAAGTTGAATATCAGCTGTATGTAATGATAGGACTTGTTGAAATTAGGTGAAATCATTGGTCAGCTGGATTTCTCAAATCTTTTTTCATGAAAATGCATAGTGCACTGCCAGCAGGTCAAACTTATTAGATAGCCAGTAGAACTAGATTGCTGATAAAAAAATAAAAAAAATGCGGCAGTATTTAAGTAAATTCAACTGAGAACTTAAAAATCAAGACCTTTAAAAAGTTTAAGTATTGTCATCTTAAGGTAATTCTAGAAGAATGCTAAATGATGGAAGAATACTATTTGTTTTATTGACTTGACGAATCTTTACAGATAATTATTAATTTTTTAATATTTTGTGCTTGGCACTCGAAGGCTTGACAAACAGGGCCATGCCCTAGTCGTTAGTAGAGGAAGAAGAAGAGGTAATTCTAATTGATTTAGAGACGAGACGAGATCCATCTTCACATTGCGCTTGTACACGGTCTGTGTCTTTCAGAAGCAATAATTATCCCAATGTACAAATTAATGCCAGAAACTGATCCATAATGTGTAGCAGCATTAATAACCACAAACATCAAATTTGTGAAAATTCATCGAAAATTTATATGAAAAACTACCATAACCGACGTTGCTCATTAACTGAATGTATCAAGTGGAAGATAGTGTCATATTATCTCTCTCTTACACATTGAGTCAATAAGTGACATCCATTATGATAGTCCCCAATATAAATGTTCAGTGAATCTTCACAAATTAGGCATCAAACTGCTCAGTAATAATGTTGCAACACTTTTTGGATCAATTTCTTGCATTGACTTGTACATTACGATAATTACTGCTTCTCAAAGACACAGGCCCTGCAGCTGCGCAGTTAACGGCCACTATCGTCCCTACATTACTTGGAATCACTTTATGCATACATCTTTTCATTAGTAATGGAATGGTTGTGGAGTTAAACCTTAAATATACATTCCTTATGTTTTCTCTATTCATCAATTATGTTAAACAGACATGTGTAAATAAGAAAAAGAATCAATTTATATGTACCTTTATTTCAGAATTTTCTTATCAGGAAAACTAATCTTTTGTATTGATGAGCTTTTCAGCATTTTACAATTCTTTCACTTCACCAGGAATCATTACTAATCTACCTCTGTCTTTTGCTTCCTTTGTTCACAGAAAAGTTCGGACCTTGTTTGCTTGTTTGGGTGAAAATGATGGAGAGTTGTCTTTTGAACCAAACCAGATTATAACAAACGGTAACTAATCCTATATCACTCCTCCTTTTATTTTTATATTTAATGACTTCTTAATCTAAAAGTAAAACTCTTTTCGTCGTGTGTGCCATTTTAGCTTGTGAAAGCTCATTAAACTTATAAATCACTCCAATCTAGTTCTTAATTTATTTTAAAGTCATTTCAGAATTGAGAGACTTGGAGGACAAGGCGCATAAGTGCAGTTTTTGAAAAAACTAAGTTATTAATGATTTCAAGTAAAACTAGTCTTAATTCATATTCTGTGAAAAATTTGCTCCCAAATTCCAATTTTTGAGCATCAAAAACTTTCTCACCGCCATAAGGATCCATGAAACTTCGGAACTTCAAACATATATCTTTCAAAATAGAAAAAACTGCACTCATGCACCTTGTCCTCCAAGCTGCTCAATTGGTATGTGACCGTTCACGAGAAAAGAGGTCGCAGTCAACAAAATCTCACCATGAGTATTGGCGGAATCGCATCAAATAGAGTTCAACAAACCTCATATGAAAAAAATGCCTTCAATTTTGAACCAAAATCAGAGTTACTTATGGCGGTTTGAAGTTTATGTAGTGTTTCCAAAACACTAAGCTTGGAGAAACCGCTTAAAAAAATTATGATCTGCCAAGTTCAGGTCACGGAGGCTTGAAATTGAGTACGTAATATGTATTATCCTAAGAATTATCCTGCATAGATTAAACGATCGTGTCAGTTGAAAACTAAAAAATAAAAAATACATTGCAATTGAAATACATTAAAATACTCTCATTTCATAATGTTATGCAGGTTAAATTTCATTGTACTTTTCTTGCTTGTTTGTACAATAAAAAATTACCATGTCAACAGTCAACATCGACTCTTACAATTTTCAACTTAGGAGGTTCTTGTTACAGTGTTTTCCTCAAATGATCCTACAAAATCAATATTATTCCATGAAATTGTAATAGATTTTTCTCCATCTTGCTCAGAATGTTCTGTAAAAATTTTGGGCAATATTAGTTACTCTGCAAAAAATGAAACACCAAAGATTTTGACAATAAGCACACAAGTTTTTCGACTTTCAGCATCAACATAAATCATCCTTAATATCAAAAACTGATTTTTGCATTTTTAGCCTAATTTAATGGATTAAATCAAGTTTGCATCAATTGAGTGGCAATTCGAAGAAGCAACTATTTTTTTTGTCCATGGCTACAGGATGTCTAGCGACTGGGAAAACTGATAACATCAGGGAGACTAAAGCAATCAGGGTGAAGTCAGGGAGAGAAAACTCATATCTCTGTGATTTTTTCAGAACTTCAGGGCTCAGATACTGTAGCGCTCTCTTTTGGTCTGTAATGCATTTTTCCCTCGAAAATGTGAACCTCTGCCGATTGGTACTTTTCTTTGGGCTACGTTTTTTTTTTTTTTTTTTTTTTTTTTTTTTTTTTTTTTTTTTTTTTTTTGCGGTTTTTTTGCGTTTTTTTGATTTGGAAAGAGATGTTATGAAAAGTCAGAGGATGGAAAGAAAATTTTACCAGACCCTCTGTGACCATCAATTGACGAGGCTTTCAAGTTTAACATTATCCGTACCTATACACTGGTACCCTAGATGTCTCTTTGAGTCACTAATCCTCTCTTTTCTTTTTATTTTATTTGCATTAATTGTTCTCTTATTTTTTTTTGTTTTCAGTGAGAACAAGTTTCGAGCCTGGTTGGTTGGAAGGCACTTTGAATGGTAAAACAGGACTCATCCCAGAGAACTATGTTGAAGTTCTTCCATGACCAAAAGATGGCAAAATGATAATGACCAATAGTGTCGTAGCAATCATTTGTGCAATTGTTAATATATCAATCAATAGCCGATCGACCGCTTTGTGATAAGAAAAGAAAAATAATGAATTAATAAAAAAATATTTTGTTCCATGGTGTTTTGCAGAACATTTCCCTCAAAAAATATTAATCATGCACTTGTCGCAGTTTTGTCTTATTTGTTTTAAGTAGATTATTCTTACTGAAATTTTTAGTTAATTTGTAATAATTGTTTAAAAATATTATGATCTGACGAGATTTTGTATGTTTTGTAAGTATATACATATAATGTTGTTGTAGCTCCTGTAAATTGAAGTGTATATTTTCAAAAATCTTGCTGTCGCAGCCTGTTGTTGTTTATGCCAGCAATGTATCATTTATAATTTTGTTTAGTTTTTCAAGCAGTGTTGCCAAAATGATTTTTGTTTTAAATTAATGCAAAATCGAGAAAAGATATGGGATTGGTTACTTTTCTCATTTTTCTTTTACGGGTTTGATGTCATTTCCGTTGTTTCTTCCTTTTCCCCTCATTCTCTCCCTTTTTTCCTCCTCTGTCTAGGAGTCTTTTCCCCTTTCTCTGAAATTTTTGTAAGTGGAACTTTTGTTCTCATATTGCAAAGCAATAAATTGGACCTCTTGCTTTAATAGAAATTCAACACCAATTTTTTAATCAATAAGATTCAAATAAACGTAGGTTTTCTTAGCCATTAAGCAGAATATTGTTTTTAATAGTCTATAATCCTAGAGTGACTTAACATTTTAGCCTTTAGGAGCAGGAAAGCTTGTCTAAGTTAACTTAATGAAATGAATAAATTCATTAAAGCAACTCAGACTGAAAACAGCCCAGATAGTGGCTGCTATCCCTATGATTCTGTGGAACTGTTCTCTGTCGTTGAAAAGATGCATCATTCCAATATTTCCTTCAGCAGTGCGTATCGGTAAGAAAAAATTGCAGTGGGGGTAGTAAAAGGATGAAAGTAACCAAAAAAAATCTGCTTGAAAGGCAGTTTCTGAAGTAGGATCATTAAAATCTTTAGTAAAATTCCAATAACTTTATATCATGGACGTTTTCAACTTTTAGAATCATTATTTCTTGGTTTCAGAATTTAAATTCAACATTCAAATACTTTAATTGTCCTCAAAAGTCGTCTGATGAGAGCTGAATGAAAATAAGGCTTAGTTATTTTAGTAACCATGCGATTGTCAAAGTGCATAAAATATAGTAGGTACATCCTGATGCTTGGCAGTTCCAGAATGCATTGGCATTTTTCTCAGAATGTGGAAGCTTTTGTAGCCTTTAAAGTTTTACAAGAAAAAATGTTCAAGAAGATTGTAAAAGTAACTTATTCTAAAGTATCCTCAGTAGCACAGACTGTTAAGTTTGGACTTTGAGAAAATGTAAACAAACTGTTAAAATGTACAAGTTAGGAAATTCATTTTGTGCTTTTTTAAGTAAAATGCATGAAAAGAAACAAAAAAAAAAGAAAAAAAATTGCATCAAAATTTTGTTAAACGCTAAAATTTACTCATATTGACACTGAACTCAAAATAAACTGCAAGTTATCCGCAACATAAAACTAAAATTTGACGTACAATTTATGTAAAATTGTCAACATTTACTGAAATAAAGTGATAAGGAACTTGTAAGAGCATGAGGTAGCATTTTTATGTAAAAAAAGAACAAAAAACGTTTCCTGATTCAGATACTGTAAAAGTTCTCTTAAGAGTTTCTCTTTGAAATTCACACCATTGTTTCATAAACACTCAATGGCACTGAGGAAAGCTTCATATGAAACTAGTCGGGTTCCCATGTATCTATTTCACTGCTCCAATATCCTCTTTATTTTTGCCCTCTAAATGCGGTAGCCATTTGATCCAGAGAATAGTAGTAAACATGAGTATCAAGAAGAAATGTCTTGATTCTAATAATTGAATTATTTTTTTGTTTCTAATTAATAGCACTAATCACCTAACCACCTTTGTCCATCAGAACAAACAGATGTATCAATGGCTGAGGAACAATGCTGTCAATACCTGCAAACTGACGTTCTCACAGAACAAAGATAATATACTGTACAGCATCATTACACAGGGTGTCTAGCATCAGGATTTTCCCGATTCTACCAGGATTTGCGGTCAATCAGCGTTTAATCCCGATTTCATCAGAATTTGAGGAAAAATCGGTCTTAAAATGAGGATTTGTGAAAAGTCGGCCGTCCGATTTGATTTTTTTATCGACCTATCTTTGTGAAGTCACATTTGCCTAATTTTTCTCTGCAAAAAATCAGGATTTGGAAAAATTTTGTAATCAGGATTTAGCAGTCAAAAATCAGGATCTCCCAAAATGAAAAAAGAACCTGGACACCCTGTTACAGCGCTCCCATGCGGAATTGGAAAAAAAGTAAAAACATCAGCTTGCATATAAACTGTAGAATGCAACAAAGTTGCTGATTCATTATTACCAACATTTTCAGTTAAGTAGTATTGTTCCTCAGCCATTAGTATATTGCAGCCTTTTCTTGTCTTGGACCAAAAGAGACATCCTTTTGAAATAAATTGAGTTGAAGTTCTCAAGTTCTCTGTTCAGAAATATTTCATCCCTGGCCTTTCAGTTCATGTATGACGAGGGTGTAACTTTTTTGGCACTAAAGCATAATTTTGTAACTTTGGTGTAAAATTTGCCAGTTGTTTGAAAATCAGGTGCTTTAATTTTTTTTCTAACTCTTTGCATACTAGCTTTGCAATTGGATGAATTGAAGCAGCCTAATTTTCTCTCATGTTTTACTGTTTTATCAAAGAACTGAACTACTCAGCGCCTCTGAACGTTTTATGAATTTACCTTGGATTAAAAGTATATCACAAAATTTCAAGTTTTTTTGTCACTTAGTTTCCTGTTGGAAGAATAGTACATCACAGAAAATTTGCCATTGTTGGATGTAGCTAAGCTACAGGGTGATCTAAGAGTCCCGCTTTGTTAGCACTAGGCATCACTTCTGTAACTTTTGAAAAAATTGAGGTAGGGACTTGAAATTTTATGTGTGTTGTGGTCGAAGGAGACAACTTTCGAGAACCCTGGAAATGTTGATGGGACCAACCTGAAAAGGCGCAAGGAACCTAGGAGTTATAAAGGTGGTGTGAGACTTTCGGGTCACCCTGCATATAGTAGTAACAAATCCTTGAAATAGTTCAATATGAACATACTTGCCTCAATTGCACTTGACTGATTAGTGCATTATTTCTTAAAACCATCTGGTTTCAGTCAGCTCAAAATCAAATTCTCAGTCCTTGATCTGCACCCATTAAATTTTTGTAAAATTTTAAGGATTTTTTTACCTTATTTTTTTTACTATTAAGAAATCACATTATTTTATTAGCATTTTAGCCTGCAAGTTCCTTGGCAGAACCTTCTGATGCATTTATTTAGGTACTTTCATATTTACCTATTACATATTACATTTATATAGTTGAACTTTCAAACAAACTCCAATTTTCTATGCATTTTTGTATGACCTAAAAATTAAAGTAAAATTATTTATATTTATATGTATTCTCTTTGAAAACAGTATGTACCATTCATTTACTGTATTCAGGCATGATTGCGTTGTAGTATTTAAGGTGTAAAGGTTATTTGACAAAAATCTAAACCAACAACTAGCACCTATGTATTCATGATGATCTATAAACCTTAGCTCTTCAAATGTTTTTATTATTTAGATTTAATGGCTGCCAGGTTATCATTGTACCCTCTACCCATTTTTTTTGTCCGCGTAAAGCTTCATTCAGTTTCTACAGTAAATCTACGGTTTTTTTTATTTTTCTTTTTTGCTGCCTAGTGTTCATATGTTTTATAATAGTTAAAACCTATTTACCTATGCTCCATTTATGTCACTTGTATTTGGTTTTATTAAATATTTGTGGTCAACCTGTGCTGTAACAGAGGGCAGAAGAATATTTTGAGAATATTATCATGAAGCACAGTTCAAAGGAATTTTCCTATATTTGTTTAAACAATATTGACCCACAAAAGTAAGCTCAAAGTTGCGTACTTTGTACTCCCATTTTAACGTGCATGGCCGAATAGCCTAGATGGTATCTAAAAATGTCTGTCCAGCTCGGGGTACATTTTTGACCAAATGACTCCTCTGCTAATGTTTGCGATCTACGCAGCCATTATCATGTAGGACCACACGGATTATAAATAGGTAACGGCAAAGCAGTTCTGCAGGTAGAAATGTAACCGTAATAAGACGGATATTTGCAGACACCATCCTGGCTCTTACGGCGAAGAGAGCTTAGATAGGAGCTTAAATAATGCAATTTTAACCTGTTTTTCCTAAAGGTTGAAATTGTCCTAAAAATTGGGGAAAATTCTCCTGAACAAGCTTATTTTAATGAGAATAATATACCTTAACCTGCTGCTTGGCAACCAGAGTAAAAAAAAAAAAAAGATTCTGAAAATTCCTGTGGTCACCATTTTACCCAAAGGCTTCCTTTTTACTTTATTCGCTCTGTCCAATTATTTTTTTTGTTTTCAACCGTGAGCAAGCACCTTGATTGCCTCACCCCCTGTAATTCATTGGATTTTTTACCATGTTTCTCCCTTTTTTTTTGTGTATTGCATTAGACAGAATTTTTCCTTACTCAATTCGCAAAACATATCATAATGAATTTCAGGAATCACCATCTTTTGAGTTTTATATTCTGTTTATAGTTAACTGTTGAATGGAATCTCTGTTTTACATGTAGAGAGAGATTTAGCAAATCCCACTTGTTCGTAAAGTACCTGTTTTTTTGTTTATCTCTCCCTCTACTCTCTGTTTCTCTTTTTCTTTCAGAGTATAACTATTTTACGATACATTTTGTAATAAAAAATTTTTATGAAACTTACACTTTTTCATTTTTTGGTTTTCTTATTCTTTCAAATCAGCTCCTCGTCAAAGTCTGACTTTTCTTTATGAGCATTTATTTGGTACAGAAAATTCTTTAAAACTAATCTAGAAAAATTTTTAAGGAAAATTGATAGTAAATATTAAAGGAATAATCAAAAGTGGAAATTTCTTACCTGAAGTTGACTTCTTAGCTGAAAAACCGATGATAACCCCTACTCATGAGTCTAAAAAATCAATCTTGATGAAAAAAATACCAAAATTTTGAGCGATGAAAACAGGATGTGGCTGTAGAAAAAGTATTGAATTCTTTACAGCAATCGAATTCAGTATCAAATGCACCTTTTTTTTCTTATCCAACCCCTAGTTTTATTTCTCTGAATTTCTTAATTTTTTTTGTCAAGAATGACTTAAGACTCAAGCGACAGGGCCATTGATGTTCTTTTAACTAGAAAGTCAAAATCTGCAAAGACTTTTGACTCAATTGTTGCAAAATATTGCACACCAGTTCAATCTTGGCAAGAACCGGAGAACCTTAAAACTTGTTAAAACTTTTCCAGAAAGAATTGAAGTCCAATTTCTAAAATTCACTCTTAAGCTGATCAGGGGCTTCTAAGTTTTAGCCGATTGCAGCTGATAGTTGACACTATCAACTAGTACGGAGGTGTTTATTCAATCATTTCAGAAGGTAGTCTCTGATAGACTTTGAATAATTCTATTGCTCCTCTAGAGGAATGTTTACAATTGAGGGTGTCCTTTTGATTTTTGGTAAGAGATCAAAAAGGTTTCATGAAGGAGCGACAATGAGAGAACCCTTACCACTAATTACTGGTATTCCAAGAGCAGTGGAAACAAAATGCATCCCTGTAAATCAGTTTTACATACAAAGTAATCACACATAGCTCGTTTCTAAGGCGTAACATTGCATAGACTCAGAGCTTAAACTGATTGTATTGTAACGTAATTTCTGCTCCTTCTTTAAGTATATTTTTTAAAAGAAATACATCAAATCCTTTGCTGAGATTTTCAAATGCTGTTTTTTAATAGGGCGTATTTATGCTAAAAGAAATTATGTGCATAGGTTTTGCAAGCCACTTAGTTACTTTTAGTATAAATACTTCCAATAGTGGAAGAAAAATCATTCAAAACTTTATGAACCAATAAGACAGTAGATTTTCTTGCATTAGGCTTTTACCTACAACAAAATGGAGCAAAGTTAGCAATGTACCATTCTGAAACAGGATCAAGTTTTTTGGAAGATAGCAATGAATCATCTTCAAAGATTTTTTCGTTGATCAGTTTTTCTTTCTCTTCAGGCAGGAGGCTTATTAGAAATGATCTCCATTCCTCCAATAAGAATATTATATTCTAAAAAGAAGTTTAATCCTGAGCATATCGCATTATAATGAAGGCTGGCAGTCAGAGGGTAATTTGGAAGGCAAAGAAGTAATAAGTTTCTTATGAAAATGTAACGAGACCTTATTATGTAATAATATTGCGGATAGGTAACCAGGGCCGGATTTACCTACGTGCTGCCCATGGGCTGCCTGTATTTTGCCGCCCCCTTCTCATTCGTTTTAAAATATCAATAAAAACCATCAAGTGAACGTGCCAGAAGGGAAGGGGAGAGGTGCATAAGGCGCGTTTACTCGTGTTGGACACATTTTTTGCGAAAGCCCTGTCAATACTACTAGCAAAAGTTCGCGGAACTTTGCGCGAAAGTTAAGTTCCGTAAACCTATCTCTGTGTGAACAAGGTCTTCCATTTGTAAGAAATGAACGTAAAAATTATGCAAGAACAAACATAAATGTGGTTTAATAATTTTAACCTCCGCCGCCGCGTCCCACAGTGGATCGAGTCAATTAGAGAGGTCGGACATTAAATTTTTGACTAAAACTGCAGATTTTGACGTTCAGTTCGTCACAATTTAAATTTCAAGGGGTGTTTAAAGAAAAAAATTGGACGAGGAAACCAATGGAACAACTTTTAGAACCTGAAAGTTCTACATAAACAGAGTTAAAAGCGTTTAAAGTTTCCAAATTTTGTCCGACCTTTCCTATTGACTCGATCCACTGTGCGCCACGCTGACCGCACTGTGTTCGGCGCAATGCGTGAAGTATTCCTACAGTCTTGAAGGCGCTATGCGTTTCACGCCGACCGCCGCTGATCGCACTATGTGTTTGACGCAATGAGTAAAGTATTCAAGAAGTCTAGTAGGCGCTATGCGTTTCACGCTAACTGCACTGCTTTAGACGCAATGCGTGAAGTATTCATGCGGTCTTGTAGGCGCTATGTGTTTCACGTCAACCGCTGTTGACCGCACTAACAATAAGTTTGACGCAATGCGTGAAGTGTTCGTGCAGTCTTGCAGGTGCTAATATGTTTTACATGCCGACCGCCGCAATGAGGGCTTCTCCTTTTTATCTCAAGTCCTCATCATCATTGCTCTCTGCGCCGCGTCGCTCCACGCCGAATTGCGTGTTTGGTTTTCTCTCTTGACTCGACTAGTTGAAGGTGATGTCTCTTGTGTCACCGAAAGACGCTTTTCTCGTTTGTAATTTTTTTTCTGAACCCGATTTTTTTTTGATAGCTGTATTTAAAAAATTGCAAAATTTGCCGTCCCCTAAATTTGCCGCCATGGGCCGTGGCCCATGTGGCCACCCTCTTAAAGAGGGAAAGGGTTAGTGGGACATGGCATCCCAGAACGCTGTGTATTATCTTTGCCAAGTTTAACTGGGCAATTAAATTTTTTACGAGAGAACGTTTGTTCGGATTTCTACCATGGAGAATTTTCACTGAAATTCGCACGAAAATCTGCACAACCGTTTTCATGTACAAAATTAAATTGCCCAATTAAATTTGGCAATAGCTGATGTGGCTTGGTTCCTTTCTATTTAACGCGGTCCAATTTACTTTTTTAAAGAGAATTTTCTGCCACTTTTTGATCTTCCATTATAGTTTATTTAAACGCTTATGGTCTTTTTTTTTTTGTTTAATTTCTCACAATTTAAATCTTTTTCTAATCCCCCCCCCCATTCTGGTGGAAAATGTGTGCGTTTCCAGTACATGTATACCACCCTCATATGTGACTTAACTGAAGTGAGCTTCATAGTTACCTACAAAGTTGATGTCCAATGTTTTCGGAACAGATAGTATTCTAAAAGATCCGGAACCATCATAAAACAGCACAATTCGTTCCGGGGTCACTTTTTACCATTAATTTACCCATTTGGATTCCTCTATTATTACGAATCACTGAAATTACCTTTTTTGAGCAAAATGGTGGGTAGGAAATTTTAATTGCCATTTTAAATGCCAAAAAGAAGATTAGACAAGAAATTAGCGAGTACAAGGACCGTCTCAAAATGCTAAAGAAACAATCACTAAATTCAAGAATGAAATTGGTAAGCTTTAAAGTGATAAACCAGCCATGAGGCAACTGTAAATAATGAATTATAAAAAATTTCCTGTAAATAAAGTTCCTACATTTATATAAACTCAGCTTCCTTAGGATTCTTTTATGTTAATCTTTTCCCCTTACTTAATCATCATAAAGAACAAGGCCTTATTTAAATTCTCTCTGGTATTACTGCATTGAAGTGAAATTGAGGGGCTTGGAGGTCAAGGCGCATTAGTGCAATTTTTAAAAGTTGAAATATTAACAATTTCAAGTGAAACTGGTCTTGATGCATATTTTGTGAAAAATTCGCTCCCAAATTCCTATTTTTAAACATCAAAAAGTCAGTTTGAACTTTCTTTCTGCCTTGAGGATCCATGAAATTTCGAAACTTCTAACAAGTACATTTTGAAATAGGAAAAACTGCCCTAATGTGCCTTGTACTCCAAGCCCCTCATTTGTCATCATCAAAAATGAGTTGATCCCAGTTGGTCGATGGAAACCTCTTGAACTACTTTCTTTGAAACGAGCAGAATTACATTTTGTAATGGACCAGTAAACAAGGCAAAAATTGAAGCGTTCTGATACATGGCTTTTAACCAAAACACGTTAAACACAACTTGCACAAAGGGACTTACTGAAATCAACTCCAAACTAAGATAACAACGTTTTTTAGTTTTCATTGGTTACAAGAATTTTGAATTCCCTGCTCACAAGAAAAACAATGGTCTACTTGAATCAAATCACACCTACCACAACAGTTTCGGCAGGCTTCTTAATCAAGCCATGTTCCTTCCTGCCTTGTATTGTTCTAGGTGTTAACTACATGCAACAGCTGAGCCGAAGATCCAAAATCAAGGTTGCCATCTTTTCATACCGCAGAGACTGTTACAGTAACCCTTACTGCGCAATTTGTCTAAACTAGACTTTAATTTTACCATGAGCGCAAGGTTTGAATTGACGCATCAAAAAATGTTAAACAGATCAATTAGAGTTAGTTTCATCAATTTCTGTTGCGTGAATCGTGTTCTAGGTAAAATTCTTGTTACGACATGTATCAGAATGTGTTAATTTGTACCTTCTAAACTGGTCCATTAGTGGACTTGCGGCAAATTATGGATTTACTGATTTTCAACTTAGCATGGCAGCATACCACTGTGACCGCCCCCTCTTGATCCGCCAATGCTTC